CCCCAAGCGGAAAGCGCCGGAGGGTCCGCCACCGCCCGGCTTCGGATCCCTGGACCCAGGCGCGGCTCGCGGCGGGACCATGGCTTCCTGGGGTTCTTACCTGCCCGGAGCGGACTCGAGGGGACGCGGCTACACGTTCTGCTCGACCGCCCGTTTTGCCGCCTCCGCCTCGCCCTCCCCAGCGCCGCTGCCGCCATCTTGTGTCCCGGGCCGGGACTCTGCGCTGCGCATGCGCTGGTACCGCCTCTGAGGGTCCTCGCCACAGCCGCGCCGCCATCTTGAGTGTGGCAGGGTTGACGGGTGCCTCAGACCCGGCTTGCTTTCGCCACCCCCCTCTTTTCTCCCATCCTTCTTTGCTGTTCCATACGGCTCTGAGGAGGGAGAAAGAACTTTGCTGGCCCTGGCGTGTGGGCTGAGGAAGGAATGGACTCATAAGCGTTCCCCCGCCTCAATTTTCCCCGCCAGCACAGCCGCAAGGGCCAAAGGATCTGGGTGGGCGGTGCACGGCAGGGTCGGACTGAGTATGCGCACTAGGGGCGTGGGGGCTAGTTTGGAACGCGCGTGGCTCGGGCTCTGCCGCGGACCCGGGGGCGGACACCTGGTGACGTATCCTTGGTGACGTAGCGGGCACCTGGGTCCTAGCCAGTGCGCTGCTTTGCCAACTTCCGGCGTCTCTTGCCCTTTCTGAACCTCTACTGTAGGGCGTCGGAGTGTTTTCCAATCTGGCGAAATATCCAGGCTACGTGCAAATCGAGCCTTTTCCCGTAATAATCCTGCACAAGTTTTAAGTGCCGAGTAGGAGAAACTCAAAACAGCAGTGGGCGGGGGGCGATAATAAAGATGGCTTTTGGCAGCTGGGAAATTGTAAGCTAAATGCATCAGAGGGGTTTTCCAACACTGATGTGTCTGTGGCCATGAGTTGCAGTTCAAAACCTCACTGAGATCTCAAACCGGCTGCAAATGTTAACCTAGCAGGAGACTGGTAGGGGCCGGCAGGCGACTCAGAATAGTAGCTCCACACACCTGTGGCCTCCCGAGTAAACAGACCTCCCAGTGGTAGCTTGAGAAGAGGACAAGCTTGCTACCTGATGTAACACTGGCGCTTGTGGCTTGCGTAGTGCTGAAGGCTGCAGATGCCCTAGCTGGGCCGCCTCTCTGACGCAGATGGTGCTAGCTGTATGCACCGGGGGTGGAGGGGGTGGGGGGGATCAAAAAAACGGAGGCAGTAGTATGAATAGTAACTAAGAACTAGAGTTCTTATCAATCTCTTCAAATCCCTACTCCTTCGCTGTAGATGTGTAGCCATGAAGACTTCTTTAGCCTCGTTGAACTTTAGTTTCCTCAATGGAAGCTAGTAAGTCTGCCTACCCCATAAAAGCTTGGTAACTGGGGGGATGCATGTAAAGTACTCAGTACAGTACGCGGCACTTCATGTCATGGGTTTTTTTTGTTTGGTTTTTTCGTTTGTTTGTTTGTTTAAAATATGACCGGCAAGGGGATCTTAACCTTTGACTTGGTGTTGTCAGCACCATGCTCACCCAGTGAGCTAACCGACCATCCCTATATGGGATCCAAACCCGTGGCCTTGGTGTTATCAGCACCACACTCTCCCGAGTGAGCCACGGGCCGGTCCCAATGTCATGGGTTTTTTTTATTTCGTTTTTTTTTTTTTTTGGCGGCTGGGTGGTACAGGGATAGAACCCTGGACCTTGGTGGTGTCAGCATCACACTGTAACCAACTGAGCTAACCGGCCAGCCTGTATAAGTACTTGATGTTAGTCATTATCACCTCACAGGTTGTCAGGGTTGCTCCAAGTAGATTTGAGCCCTCCAGAAATAAGCCATCATCTCTATTTAGGCATAGTAGGTGCAGTAGTACTGCCCTCAACGGCTTACAGTTCAGATGGGAGGCTTGGGGCTGTCCATTTACTCAGTTGGTTAGAGCACATGGTATAACAGTAAGGTCAAGGATTCGGATCCCGCTTCCGGCCGGCAGCCAAAAAAAAAAAAAAAAAAAAACCCCAAAACAGCTGGGAGGCTTGATAGAAAACCAGATGCCAGGGCCCGCCGGTGGCTCACTTGAGAGAGTGTGGTGCTGATAACATGAAGGCCACGGGTTCGGATCCCTATATAGGGATGGCTGGTTAGCTCACTTAGGAGAGGGTGGTGCTGACAACACCAAGTCAAGGATTAAGATCCCTTTACCGGTCATCTTTAAAAAAAAAAAAAAGAAAACCAGATGCCCTACCTCAGACCTGTATACAGGGACCACGTGCTGCTTCACCTAGGACAGTCTTGGTTTATGCCTATTGTCCTAGCGTAATTATTATTATTGCTTCCTTTCTCAAAAGTGCCCACTGGTCTGGATGATAAATTATATGGTCACTAGACCTACAGAATACCCAGTTTTACAAGCTCCCCATCTAGTTCTTATTTACACTAAAGTTTAAAAACAGTGTAGTGATTGTTATCTGCTCTTGCTTTTATGTTTTCAAAGTATTTTCTCATTCATTGTTCAGATTCTTTTTTGTTTTGTTTTGTTTTTTGCTGGCTGGTGGATCTGGGGATCCTAACCCTTGACCTTGATGTTACATGTTCTCTTAACAATTAACAACCAAGGCTCAAAACATCCCAAGTGTTTACTCCTCTGTTTTATTATGGAATCCCATGAGTAGGAATATATTACCTCAAGTTTGCACATGAGGAAACTGAGGCTTGGGAGACGGGGAGAGGGGTGAAGTAATTGTCTGGGCTCACACTGCCATGAAGCAACAGAACTGGGATTTTAAGCCCAGCGTTCCCAACGCTAGAACCCAAAACTGGTTCCATTAAACCACACTGGCTTCCCATTTTGTGGAGAAATGAATCTGGACTCAGGGGCAGTGACAGACTTGTCCGAGTTCACACAGTGGCCCTGGACAGTTCTACTTCAATATATTATAGGTTTCTCTAATTCAGAGTGTTCAATACTCCTCTTCACCTTATCTGCCTCCCCAAACTTGTTCTTCCTGATTTATTCCTCATCTCCTCCATCTGCTCACTTTCCATGTGTAGTCAGAATCAACCTCTTCATCCTCATTTCCATTACCTTAGAGCAAGCCACGTTATTTTATAAAACTTTTTATGGTTAAGAGTGACACACAGGGCAGTCTGGTTAGTTCAGTTGGTTAGAGCGCAATGTTGATAACACAAAGATCCAGGGTTTGTATCTCGTACCAGCCAACTGCGCCACACACACACACACACACACACACACACACACACACACACACACACACACACACACTAGCAGTCTGCCGTCATACCATCCTGAATGCGCCCGATATTGTCTGATCTCGGGAGCTTAGCAGGGTCTGGACTGGTTAGTAGTTGGATGGGAGACTGCCTGGGAATACCGGGTTGCAGTAAGCTTTAAAAAGAAAAAGAAAAGAATAAGAAAAAGAAAAGAATAGCACACATACAGAAAAGTGCACAAAACATAAATGTAAAGCCTAATGGTTTAATGGTTTATCACAAAGTGAATACTTGGGTTGGCATTACTCAGGCCAAGGTACTGAATAGTCAAGCAGAAGCCTCCTACAGGGTAATTGATGTTCTGACTACTTTTGTGATAATCGCTTCCTTGATTTTACAGTTGTACCACATGAACATGCATCCCTAAACACTAGTTTTGCCTGTTCCGTGAACTTTATATAAACGGAATTATACAGTATTATTTTGTGTCTGGCTTCTTTTGCTCAACAATGCACTTGCAAGACTCATGCATGTTGTTGCATGTATCCATAGTGAGTTCATGGTTATTCGATTTTCCACTATATATTTAGGTATTCTATTGTTGAGGGATATTTAAAGCCTCCCACACCATCCCACCGCACCCAGACTTGCTTCTTTTCTAGTCAATAATCTACCCCGCATCCACAGAGATCATTTTAAGTCTGGTCATATTGCAAATCTGAACAAGTCACCGCAAGCTTAAACCCCTGAGTGAATCCCCATTAACTGCAGGATAAAGTCCTATACCCTTAACTTGGCTTATAAGACCATAATTATAATCATCTACCATGGCAGAGCATTTACTTTAGCCAAGCACTTTACATACATTAGTTTTATTCATGATCTGGTCCCAGCCATCTTGAACTACTTGTTATTTCTCTAAATGTGCCAGTTATCTCTTGTCCTGGGCCTTTGCATGCTGTTTGCTCTCACTCTTTGCCTGATTCAACCTTCAAGTCTTAACCCAGATGTCATCTCCACCAGACAGCCTTCCCTGAACTCCCTTCCACCCCATGGTAGGTCAGGTTCCCTCTTCTGTATTCCCATAGTGGCCTGGGCTCATAGTGTAAGTCTTTTTTCTTTGTCCACTAGGTTGTGGGCTGCTTAAGGGTGGGGGTGGCTAGGCCCCTCCAGCTGTTCACCCCTATAGCCCCCATGCCCAGCACTGTGCATGACCTTCTGGAAGTATTTGTTGATGGTGGACAGACCACACTGGGTTGAAATCTGGATGACTTTTCAGGTATCCCCATTTCTATTACAAGCTCTAGTTTCTGTGGTGAGATCACCAAAGTAGCACCCTTTGGGATGCTAGGAAAAGCATGAGCTGCCTGCTCTGGCAGTCTCTGCCAGCAGCCTGGATTCCTCTGTTCCCAAGGTGGGGGTGAGCAGTTGAGAAAGATCCCGAGGCTTTCAAGTACTTCAGCAACTTTTCTGGACTAAGAAGCCTCACAAGACAGCAGGTCTGGGCTGGGAGAGGTAGTTAGGATAAGCTGGGCCAGCTGGCACCAGGGCCAGGGTTTAAAAAGGCCCCGTGTTTGGTTTAATGTTCTACTGTCACAGTCTTAAAAATCTTAACAATTTTTTAACAAAGGCCCTGCATTTTAGTTTTGCACTGAGCCCCTAAAATTACGTAGCCATTCCTGTTAGGAGCTTGCTGCCAGGATCTCTGAGGACCCCAGCCTCAACTCAGGACAAAGCCTAGCCTCCATGTTAAAACAGAAACACACTTACTGGCTCAGGTTGCTTAACATAAACATACTGGCTAAGATCTTAACCCCCTTATTCTCTGTTGCTGTAGCAAGAAACTGCTGAGAGGGAACCACGCACTTTATGCTGAGAGGTCTGGCACTTGGGGAAGGGCGGTTCCGCAGGATCCTGCTCCAGGTTGTCCCCACCCGGGCTAGAGCTGCTGTAGATCCTGTTCTGCAGTTTAAATTATACTGAGGCAGTTTCCAAGGCAAGTGAGACTGGCTCCAGGGAAGCTGTGGAAGGGAGGCTTCCCTCCCAAACTGTGGTTCCCTCAGGGAGTGTCTCTCTGGCCATTCTGGGACCAGATGAGAGAAGCCATTTAGGCCAAGAATAGATGAGGGGAATGGGGTGTCTCCTTTGGTCTTCCTGGCCTGTAAGTGTCTGATGTGGTATGATGTAGCCTCTATTTCTTCACTCAGCTCAGCCTGGTATGTGTTGAGACCTGTCCTAAGGCCTTGGGAGCAAGTGATAAGACAGGCTCTTTGTCTTCAGGGAGCCCACAAAGCAGTGGGGGAGACAGACACA